CTGTCCACCTATAGTCCTACACTGGCTTATTAATAGATTCCCTTGTGTTTGGTTTCTGTTCTTTAAGCAACAATTTCTTTCTCTTAGATCTCTGTTTCTTTGTGTTTTAGTTTATTAGTTAATTTCCCTTCTTCCCAGCTTTCATTCTGTCTTAGCTGTTCTACATCTCTACTGATTAGTTCACCCCATTTGTTTTTCAACACTGACTGGTATTTAAGTCAGTTTTTCATTGTTAATTGCTGGATTCATCTGATTTATCTGGTTGTGCTCCCTGACCTTCTCCTCTGGTGTATTCTGCCGTGAGTTCCCTTAATTATTTTATCATTAATGAACTCTGATTTTCCCGCAGCATGCCTCTATGCTCAGGTCTGTTACAACCCCAACATGACCCAAAAAAAAAACTTGCGTTTGTCAGATAATACTAGTTTTTTTTTTAACTTTCTAAATATGTTTACGGTATTTGACTTTCATACTTTATAAATTATTTTTAATTTTTAAGCCTCTCTATGCTCTTTTTCCATCAAATATTTAAACAATCTGGTATTACTACACTGAAATTGTATGCAGCCAAGGTTTTGACGTGATTTGTGTTTATCAATAGCAGAATATGCAGAATGTGCAAAATATGTTAACAATTTTTATATTTATGTGTATTCAATCAATAATGTTTTTGTCTGAGAAGAATCTAAACTAGTTGGACCATTACAACTATTACTAACATCACTTTAGCCTCACTATAGGCATCTTTCTGACTGTTTATACATTGGTTTTATAAGCACTTTCACCCGATACTCCTACAAAGTGTTTTCTTTCTTACGTTCTTATCAGAAATTACCCTTTCAAACTTATTTACATTTTTTATCCTTAATCAGAAGTCAGTATCAACAAATGTTTTTTTTTTCCCTGCGGAATTTTGTAAAAATCCTACGTTTGACACTAACCTCATGTCTCTGTCTTATCTCTGTTCCTTCTAAACATTTCAGATGTGATTATGATTAGTACTCAGGCTAACCCATTTCCCGAAACAAATATGTCTTCTGTTATGCATTTCTGAAAACATTTCAGCAATGCCTTTTTTTCAACATTACCCTGTTGGAAGCATCAGTAATGCCCAGGATGTCTTTTTTCTTAAGAGTGCTTGATGTTTTTCCCATGGTTTGATTGTAACATTTGACCCAGGATTATGTGATGATGCCTCAGGGAAAGAAATGCATGCAACCACTTCTGTCATGCAATGAATTTGAGGATTCCTGCCACTCAAGGCAAAAACTAAGACATCGGAAAGCACATGTTACATCAGCTCCTTTATGGAATAAATACAACAGTAGACCAGAACCTATAATCACGACCAATCAGCCTGTGGCGAAGGTTTGGTGCATTTTGAGTAGGGCTACAACTAATAATTATTTTTTAAATCTATTAATCAATTGAGTTTTTTTTGTTTTTGATTTTGATTAACTGTTTAATATATGGACAGCAAAAGGTTTCTGAAAGACTTTTCTATGAAATTAAACCAAATGTTTCCACTTGAGGAGTTCTAGACAGAGGAATCGCATATTGACAGAGGAAAATGTTTGTTAATGAACTTAAATGCAAAATGTTTATATATTATTTTAGAAATTTACTTATAACATTTAACGCCTAACTGATTACTAATTTAGTTGATGATTATTTCAATAATAAATTTATCTGATTAAGAATTTCAGCCCTTATTTTGAGCCAGTCAGCTTATTTAAGGGAACCTGGAGTTCTGATAATTCTTCTCATCATTGAAATTATTTAGTTCTTAGTTGAGTTTAGATTTTAAACACTATATTAAAGAGTTGTGTACCTCAAGTGAGCTGGAAGAACTGACTGGGAATAAGCAAGACCACGAGTTATTAATCATTCTACAGCTGCTGTGAGCTGGTCATGGACTGACGGATTGATCGATGGATCCTTCTCCAGAATTCAGACTGGTGTGTGTAATTTGTTCCCTTTTTCTCCTGAATTTAATATTCTATCAATATTTGATATCCTATAAATGCTGTATTTACAATGCAGAGCCCAGGCAATCCATCAGTTTGGCATGTCTTTTATTATTTTTTGTTATTTATGTTTGACATTGTTGTTTATGAACAAGTTTCCAACCTGCATGCTTGGCTTTATCATGCTCAATAAATAAATGTTTTTTAAAATTACTGAATTAATGAATTAATCATGAATTATTTAAAGCAATTTTAGATGAACAGATTTGGTGCAATAAAGTTTTATCTTTACTTCTCTACATAGAAGTAAAGATAAGAGGACAATGTAGCAAATGATTGCTGTGTTAACAAGAAACACTTTGACACTAGAAGAGATAGTGAGAATTAATTGACTCTGTAAAGTTTGGTTTTCTTAGATTTATTCACATAAACAATTCATTACCTCGCTTGAAAAAAAAAAAAAAAGCTTGTCGAGCTGAAACAGAATATTAGTTTTCTGTAAAATTAGAAGGTACATAGGGCTAAGATCACCACGGATTTAAAACTGTTTATAAGTTCCATTCAATACTTAATTACCAAGTGGAAATTAAATTTGTTACATTTATTTTACCCTAAGCTGTTGAAGATGATGATGGTTTTGGGTGAGGAAGGTTCTTCTGTGGTGGTCAACAACAGGCACCTGAAGAAACCTCTGACTGGAGATGTTCTGGTGAACACGCAAGAGTTGTTGAAACATTCATTTTACATTCATTTTATTAAGAAGTCCTCAGAACAATCCAGCCTTCTTTATCAGTCGTTTTCCTTGCTTTTTCCCAAGTAACTGTGCTGCTACCACAAAGAAATGATGTTAAGACTGCTCCCTTCGCAACAGGCCTACAGTGTAGAAGCTAAGCAGCATCTTAGAGCAGACACTAAAGGACATCTTGCCATCTTGTCTTGTCTTGTCTTGTCTTGTCTTGTCTTGTCTTGCCTTGTCTTGTCTTGTCTTGCCTTGTCTTGCCCTGTCTTGTCTTGTCTTGTCTTGTCCTAATGCTATATGCCTTGTACTAATGCCATATGATAGTAACAAACAGAGGCTAAGAAATGACAAATGAGCCTTAAAAAAACTGACAAAAAGTATATTCATCGATAGCCACGGTTCTCCTCTTGCACCAGATGGCTGCCTCAGGGCCCAAAATCACTACCGGCCCACCGGTCAATAGCCCCCTATAACCCTCTGCCAGTCCACTGGTGGTGGGAGTACAGACTCTTGTGATGCTCCTGTGGGGGGTGGCGGCCATGTGGTTAGGGCATAGGGCTTTGAATCCTGAGGTTGTGAGTGCAAACTCCCACAGACTGCCGCTCTGGGTCCCTGAGCAAGACCCTTAACTCTACACTGCTCCCCGGGCGCTGCACAGTGACAGCCCACTGCTCCCTTAGGGGATGGGTTAAATGCGGAGAATTAATTTTGTTGCACTGTACTTGTGACAGTGGAATGACAATAAAGTTTAATTCTATTATATTCTATTCTTCTGCTGACCACCTAATCAAAGTGTCTTGTGGCATTTCTCAAAAAGCAACTCTGGCCTAACTGTCTTAAATGCACTGGAAAAAACATTACATGCAGTACATGGTGCATTTCTTAAGAATTATCATATATATTATTTAAAGCCTTTCATTAATTGGATAAAAATACCTTTTGGTGTCTTAGACAAACCCTTAAAAACACAGCTACCTGGCATGACATCACAGGAAATTCAAAAGATATGAGTCAATACATTAGGAAAAGAACTATGGAGTAACATTTCTCTAGTATTCAATCAATTTAGCGCAGATATAAACAGCATTAAGATATCCAGCCACCATTAAGGTCTTTAAAGGGCATATTTATAAGTTCAAGTACAGTAACACGTGTGCATCAGCTCACTGTGAAGATGCTGATTCAGTCTGGTTGGGTGGGACAAGGAAAAAAAACAAGTTCTGTGTAGAGATGAACTAAAATGATCTGATCAGGGAGGAAGAAGCCAGTTCTCCAAATCTAACACAATAACACAGATTACAAGTTGCTATAAACAGAGGGACAAGTGTATGCTTTAGCATGGATAAACAAAAGCTGAATTATTTGATAATAACCACAATAGTTTTATTTGCAGAAGAAGAGGAAGGCCAAACAAGCATACGAACAGCTACCTAACCGAAGCACAGAGGGGGTTGTGGCATGGTGTGGTGGAACTTTGCTGTAGAAAGAAAGGGTGTGTTTCACAGTTAACATCATGAACAAAGACTATAATGAGGAAATAATGCATCAGCATTTCAAGGCGTCCAGTGGTCTGCATGAAAGGCAAAGGTACACCCTAAGCAAAACTGCTAGCTCACTGCACAGCATGGATGACAAAAAGCCATACAGAGACACAAAGTAACCAATTCCCCTAAGCCCTCATTTTTTTGGACTGTGAGAAGAAGAATACCTGGTAAGAACCCATCTATATATACGGATAACAGGCAGACCCAATGAGGAAAGACTCATCCTCAAGCAACACAACAATTTCTACATCCAGGGATGAAATATAAAAAAAAACCAAAATGATTAAAGTCAATTAGCCTTTTAAATACTGTTGCAGCTTCACAGATAGTATTTCTTGGTGAAGATTAATGTAAAAATATAGTGAGGTGAAATGTTGATGTCTTGCTTCCTGCAAACAATGGACATAACTGCTATGAGACTCAAAAAAAATATTTGTGCACAGTCTTTGAGCAAAATCATACACCATAATGCATTGTGAGAAAGTTGAGTTAAGCTGAATGTTTGAAAACGCTCAAATGCTGATGCACAACTTTCCAGCAGGCAAAGCCTGAGGTTTGTGGTTTTAACTTTGCTGCCGCTGCATGTGACAGATCTGGCTGAGAAAAAAAAACATTGCCCTGCATGAAAAAGGTTAATGTAGCGTCCACGGTTGAGTTGTCAGAACACCCCAGACATGCCATATACACTAAAAGCTGTTCCTTACGTTCTGATAGGCTACTGTCCTGCTGTGATGTCATAAATGCTTGCTTAAAATAAGGGCAACAGGCTCAGCTGCTTCAAAGTGTGTTTGAGGGCTGAAAGGACTGAGTACACACATGAGAACAAAGAGGAAGGAGCAAGACTGAGTGCCTGGGTAACACTTTCAATACCTCATTAAGAAGTGGAGCTTCTGAGAAAAGCGGTTCAAACATGTTGTGGATTTAAAAAGACATGCAAGAATGAAATCTCTGGACTGAAGAAGGCAAAGCCTGGAGGTAAGAACATAAGGGCTGCAAGTCTGCTTTACATGCATGAGCTTCGCACACACTGTGTTCCCATTGGTGCATATCTATGCATTAAAACCTGGCATCTACTCCGAGTAACACTTTTGCTAATTGAATGTTTTAAAACCTACATGACTTATAACTATAGCTAAACATTTTAGATTCTGTGACTTCTATTCCTATTTTTCTAAAATGGTAGCAAGACAGTAAAATGCTAAAATGAAGGAAAGTCAAAATTGTGCTCATAATCCAAACTTGCAGTCATAACACAAAGCTTGTATAATCTGGACAATAAAAAGATTAAATAACTTGGTGTTAGAGAACTTTTCATAATGTGTTTATTCTACTTAGTACATCAAAAGCTGGGGGCTAAATCGCTTATGAATGTTTTGCAAATTTGTGGCTGTTAGCTTTTTTTGTATAAAGGGTTGTGGGCACTTTCTTTGACACTTTGGTGAGTTGTCTGGCTTTGATCACAATTCTCAGAGCTGCATTTTAGTGACCTCTAGCATGGGAATGATCTGAATCTGCTGCAAGCTGTATTAATGCTGGTAACTGTTGTGACTATTATTGATCTGCTGCTGGGGGCAGCAAACTGTTCAAAAGTCACCGGTTTAAAGGGTAAAAGTAGAAACTGATAAAGACAATGAGAAAAACATAAAAATAATAAAATCAATAGTTTGACACGATCATCTCTCATGGTCCGTTTCCCCGTAACAAATTAACTAAGATTGAAAGGGTTAAGTGAGCACAGGTAATGGAGTATTTATTTTTTTTTTTAAAATGGGTGGAGATACGTTTCCTGCCAATCCATCATTTTTTGACATGAAATATTTTATAAATATAAATGTGTAAAGATTATATTGTTTTTTTGTTTTTTTTTTCATTTCATGACAAATTCTTAAAATAAACAGAAAAGGGTGACACCCAACAGAAATGGCCTGATTTTTTTTGAATTAGTTTGACTGATCTGTTTACACAGGAGAGCAGTTTTCTTAAAAATAAAAAAAAACAAACAAACCTGTCATTCTCCACCCCTGCATTTTCAATATAAATATTCAGTACCTTTTCTTCCTGGCATGCTGTCGACCCGAGTAAACACACAGGAATCAATGCTTCTCCTTACAGATGCCATCAGATTGCGCTCCAAGTGTTTAGATTAGGTTGGAATATAGCCAGTTAACATTTTAAGCCAAGTGTGTAAGCACACAGAAGAACTGTATAACCAAACAAAACATTAACAAGCATACTGCACATTAAAAAGATAAATAAACAGTTTAGTGTTAAACCGGCATAAAGAAATTACCCACTAAGGGCAGGTTTGTATTTGTAGCCACTCTTACGAACTCGACAACTAAGAAAAGGGAGGTCAATCCTCCTTAATAAAATCCAGATTCTTAAAACATCAGCTCACAAAATCTTTATGCATTTTATTCAAAAAGAAAATTACAACAAGAGTGAGTTCTCACTATTTCTGTTTGAAAACAGTCAAACACGGTTATCATGTAATTCCAGGGTTTTCATTCAAAGACCAGTATATTTCTGCTGGATCTAACTCTACAATAGACTAAAGTCTTTAAATGGCATCTTCCTCTGCTTGTGTCTGTGCTACATGAAAACTCTACCTTTCAACCTTGTTTACTCACATGCAGGTCCAGTTTAGATAGCTGACTTATGCCTTTAGGTTAACAAGTATACATTATGAGTAGTAATGTACAAAATACACTCAGTTATCATCATGCACTTACCTTTTCAAATCATTCAAATTGATTGGATGAAAGATCTGCATAAATAGACTAAATTTGCTTGAGACAGGTTCCTCATGTGAAAACAGTAGAGTTTAAAGTTCTCATAGTTAAAGTATTCACTAGTGTAAGGCCCCGTCCACACGAAGTCAAAATGAACACGAAACGCTAATATTTTCCAGAATGTTTGTCGTAAAGACGGAGAAGTAAAATAAATGTTATCGACCACATGAATGCATGAAAAAGCTGCAAAATGTATGCCAGGCCTGTAAGTGGCGCTGTGGTGCCAAAGCAAAAATAGGCGAAAACAGGCAACGAAATGTTGGGCATGCGCAGTAATATTTATACAACAACCAAACCGGAAAACCGGAAAATGGCCCTGCGGGTCCATTTTTCGTGGTTCAGTCAAATTCAGGTGCTGAACTATGTCGTCTATATTGCTCTGTTCTTCCTGGAGATATTCGAGAAGAAGAAGATTCTGTTGTAAGCCCGACAGCAGGGTGAGTAGCATGAGCAGCAACCATTCAACACAGTGCGGCGCCATTGTTGTTGTGATACTGTGTCGCGCATGCGTGTTTAGAGGCGACGCTATGACGCATGCGTGTAAAAAAAAAATGTGGTTAGAGCTTAAAGATGGAAACGCGAAAACGGCGTTTCAAAATCTTCCCACTCTGAAGGCTTAATAAAAAAAAGATCGTTTACAGACCCCCGAAACGCCGGCTTCGTATGGATGAGAGGCTGGTTTGGTGAAAAATTTGTGCGTTTAGGCTAGGGTTCGGCTTCGTGTGGACGGGGCCTAAGATATATGTATTGTTTTTTTTTTTTTAGTCTCTCATAAACTACTGTGTGGAATGAATATTGTTACTCTTAAAATAAGATAACTAGATAATATGCCATTGAAATAAGACAATGCAATTGTGCTTTCTTATTTTAGGCATGCATTGTCTTGTTCCACTGGCAAAACGTCTCTCTTACCTCCTCAATCCAAGAACAAACGCACTTATTTTAAGAAAAAAATTACTTGTCTAGATTTCAATTTTTTCCAGTAGAGTTACAGTGGAGAGGAAAAACTCCCTTTTAACATGAAGAAACCTCCAGCAGAACCAGGCTCAGTGTGAGCGGCCATCTGCTGAGGCCGACTGGGCTTCAAGGAGACAGAAGCAGAGACACAGAAAGAAGCTGAGATACAAAAGGCAACTGTCAACCAGCTCAACTAAAAATGAGTAGTGCTGGGCAAATAATTACATTTACAATATAATCACAATTTAGAAAAATTGCAATTTTCAAATCACAGAGACTCTCAATTTTAGTCAAATTACATTATCAAGACTCAGACAATTTCTAACTCCAGGCCTTTATGTGGCAGTAATTAATGTATAATTGGCGCCACACAGATGGAAGAGAAAGTTGCAGCTAGCATGCAGATCCATGCAGATAGTAGAGGCAAGAACTTTTTCACTGAAAGGTTACAGTAAAGTGCTGCATCAATGGATTCTTGAAAAGCAATCTTGTGCATAAATATACTGAAACCCTTGAAGGAAACATCTACAGGCTTATACTTGGTGCAAAGGAAAATCTCATTAAAATTGCATTCACAATATTGGTTGATAGTAATTGCAATTTAGATTTTTAGCCAAATCCTTCAGCCCTAATAAGGAGCTTTATCTGATAGCCTTTCAGGCTAACTTTTCTACAAACTCAATTAAAATAACATCTGTCTTCTACAGTTACGCAAAACCATCACCAGTAATAACTTTAAAGAGTTCCAATAAAAAAGGTATCCGCTATAAGTTTTCAGTGACTATCAAGCATGGAATTTTTAAATTAACTTTAAAACGTCATTTACAATGACTTCTTTTTTTTTGCCGGATTTTCTTGATGCCAAAGAAGGATCCAACAGATTTTTCTTTCAGAAGTGGAGCAGTAGGTATAGTAGTGTTCCACTTGATTTATGCATATAAATAGCTTTATTATAATTAATCCAGGGAGTATTAGAGATTGTATGGACACTGCAATGTAAGTAGAACAGGAAAGATAAAACAGAAAAATAGGAGAAAAGAAGAAAGAAAGAGGAGATAAAAGGGAGATAATGATAAAATAACAATGACTTCTTAAACTCCTGAACCTTTGCATACTTAACAGGACTAACTAACCCCCAAATCCTCAAATGGACAGTCAGGGAAGCAAACAGTCAGGAAAGCAAACAGGCAGCAGCGTGCTTCTGCTGTCAATTACAACACCTTAGTAAAAGAGTCTTTATTCTCTACCAGTCAGCCCTGTGTAAATAAAAATGCGGTGTTCATGCATGAAAGTTGATAAATAAATACTCATGAAATCTAAGGTTTATAGTCATGTCATGTTGCAGAAAAGGTCGCTTTGTTCTACTGCTCTTACTGGTGTGTGTCCAATGTTCTGCCTGACACAGCTGCAAAGTGCATCCAGCATGACTGGAGCAATGAGGGTGAGTTTTATTGGCATTTCTGTAAGCTCCTTGGTCGTGGTCGAGCAGTGCTTCAGCATTGCCATTTTAATGCTCATGCTTCTGTGGATACAGCCTGTCACAAACCCAGCTTGTTCCCAGCTTTAACCTGTTTGCTTGTTATACACTTAAGTGGACCAATTAGTCCAAAGCGCAGAAGTAAAGTGCACAAAGTGTACAGTCTGATCTATGGTTGGAAAACATTTCAGACTCCTGATGCTGAGAGAGTTAGAAGAGAGAATTCTGTTTTTCATAGAGTTTTCCATAATTACCTCAGATCTTTCAGTTGCATCAATAGATGTAGAAGATAAAGTGAAAGACTGGACAGGAATTCAAAACAACGTTACATGCTGCCCGCAAATTCATGTTATCTGAGGGAGATAGAAATGCAAAGACATGCAAAAAGTTGACCCTGATGAACTCATGTTAACAGCAAGGGAACATTTGGTTTCCTCTGTGAAAGATCACATATGTTTAGCTCATATGAGGGCAACTCCCACCTACCTGTAACAGCAGTGATAGGTATTAATCCAAACGTTCACTTTAAACAGTATTCCAAGCGTAAATACCTAGATACAAAAAACACAGTGAAACATTCATTTGAAAGGAAAGAGGAGCAGAAAAGTAGCGTGTTTTTTTTTTCCTTTCAGCCGACTTGTTAGGGGAGCCACCCTTCGTCCATTAACACCATCTGTTTTGTTCAATACACCACTGTTACTTCTTTAAATGAATCGCTCCTCTCTGAAGGGTGGAGGAAAAATAACATACTTTATATATCTCTATATATACAGATATATAACTTGTTGTTATATAAAAACAATGT